TCAAGAATCACTGCGCTAGGTGTGAAAACTAAATAACTAAATAATTTGTTCGACCAGCCGCAACTATGTGTGTAAGTGAACTTATTATATCGCAAGTGAGTTGCGCTCGGTCTCGACAAATATAAATAAATTAAATATGTGTGCTCTATAGGACGTGAAGAAGTTACTAAGTTCAGCTTCTACTGTGAAAAAATTATAAATCTCGGTAGTCACTACCTCGGTAATAATTGTGCAATACAACAATCAGGTGTGGGAAAAGGGTTTTCAATCACCAGCCGGTGTATTGATTAGGTGTTTCTGTGTACTAAGTGTACATGGTTTGTCCAAACAAACCTCTTAATGATGTGACAATCTATTCAAAGGCACCAATTCAAATATAAATGACTCGGTGTCACAGATTGGTCGTGTATAAGAAAAACAAAAACAAATTCTAAAATCCCAATCTCTAAATCGTGACAAATTTTAAATATAGTGCGAACACTTAAATAATAGAAATTAAACAGTATGAAAAATTATCACGTATACAGTGCTACTCCGTGCACTCTGATTCCTCTCAAAGACAAAGATTAAATGCGGGGTTAATTTAACTAAAATACCGGCATCGATCTTAGTGAGCAGTCAGTTCAGAGTAGTCAGTTCAAAACGTCTCAAACCAGGGATAATTCATAGAATCCGGAAAGTCCTATGGTTTCTTGTGATCCGTCCTCCTTTCTCAAAAGATCTGGTCTGCTTTTTTCCTCCCTCTGGCAGGCTCCCTCACCTCTCGCTGGGGACGGAAACCTATTAAGATCTCCCAGGGGGAAAAAAGACGAAGAAAAGGCGGCGGAATCCTCTAAGTGCAGTAATTCAAAAAAGATTTATTTCTTTAAAATACATAGATGCACTTACAAGACAGATGAGTTGTTTGAGCATAAAATCAGTGGCAGAGTGTTAGCTGTGAGCGGTGAAGACAGATCCTCCTTGACGCGTTTCGTGCTTTCACTTTTTCAAACCCCCTTTTGAAACCGAGCGCAACTCACTTGCGATATAATAGGTTTATGCCATATGTATAACAGTTGACCATTGTAGGCACCCTTGACAGTGTGATATGGTTTTCTCTGACCCTGTAACTGCCCCTTTTGCTGTACAGCTTGGCCTATTACATAAAGTAGAGAAACAATAGATCTACTGTCAGGATTAACAGATAATAATAATAATAATAATAATAATACATTACATGGGGACATGAAAGACAAACTGCTGTGGTAATACTATTGATGGATTTTTCATTTTGCCTATGGTTACACTTTCATACTATGGAAAACAGCTAACAGTAACAAAGTGAAATCACCACTGTGATTATTCCACTGCCATAGTAAAAATCTGCACCAGTGTGATTATCATTATTGATCATTGCTACAAAGGGTCAGAAAAAAACTTTTAGATTTTATTTAATGATTTTCCTGACTTACCTTACAACAATAAACGTCATAATTTAATTATTTTTTGACACTCTGTATTTACTTAGCACTTCCAAGTCATAAAATATTTTACAGATTGCATATTGTTATTTTTTTTATGTATAACAGATGTTTTTTGTTGTACTGGCTCTTGTACACAGATGTAAAGCAACTATTAAACATGGAACATTTGTAAAACTCTGATGTCATTTTTGTATTTCTGTGAGGACTAGTGTAGTCATGCAGAGCTTAAGCCATTTTGGATAACGAATAGGTTAATTCTTTTGATCATAGAAATCTGCATCTTCTAAAATATTTCTTCCATGTATTGAGTCCCTCAGCTTGTCTAAGATCATGTTACAAAGCCCCCAATCTGAGGTCATCATGACTAATCCAAGCGAGTTCCATGGCATTCGCTGACTGTTTTATGTTTTCTTCCTTTTAAAGATGTATTTACCCAAACGGAAGTTTATGGAGAATAAAATAATGTTCGTACTGATAATCCTATAATCCACTGACATCACTGAGGGTGCCAGTGGAAATATGGAATGGAACAGGTGTTGTTTTATTTTAACTATTCACATCACCGGCACATTTTACAATGATCTAAGTTCTGCCCTCTTTGATTTGTATTAATTGGGAATAATTTACAACAGAAAACAAATGTTATTTTCTTATGGGACAGCAGTTGCACCTTTTGGAATATATATGTTTTTTTCTGTTGCCATTTTACTTTAATAACCAACAGTTATCTATGCTATGGCTTATTAAAAGTGTTCATTTTAACAACCATGCAGTGGTGTAGATCTACATTAAAATATATCTAAATATAAAGGGGTTTGTGGCGATAGGATAAGAAAAACTTTTAAACTCCTCTCAGTTTTTGGGGGGTTTTTGCCTTAATTTCCTGTGCGGCAAACACTACCTGAAGTGAGGGGATATTCCTCCAAAGTGAGGGGAAACTATTATTAGATGGCTGTCACTGAAACAAGTGGACTCTTCAGAAGATTTCCCCTTACCACTTGATGCAATATCAACCCTGACAATAGTGACCAGGAAAAATAGAGAGGGGGAACTACCCCAGCATGGACACATAGAACAATAGAAAGCTGACAGGAGTTCTAACCTTTCTATATTCTCTTCCATTCTCACTTTAGATATCCTTCAAGTATAGGCATATACAAAAATTCACATTTTTGATTAAAAAAGATGTCTGATTTCAGTGTTAAATTTGCCTGGAAATAATTACTAAGCAAGGAAGAAAACCTTTAAATTGGTCGCTGTTGTTTGTCAGAGGCAGTTTTTTTCTCACAACAGTTTTATATATCAGACCTTATTAGCAGTGGTCACCATGTAACACACTGGAATATAAAAAGCTACTAAGAAAAATGTAGGGTTTGCTAAAAGTACACCGTAGCAAAGAACATTTCTAATGGGGACTCCACTTACAGGTGAAACTCGAATAATTAGAATATCGTGCAAAGTTCATTTATTTCACTAATGCAACTTAAAAGGTGAAACTAATATGAGATAGACTCATTACATGCAAAGCAAGATAGTTCAAGCCGTAATTTGTCATAATTGTGATGATTATGGCATACAGCTCATAAAAACCCCAAATCCACAATCTCAGAAAATGAGAATATTACATGCAATCAATAAAACAAGGACCTCTGAAAAGTACAAGCATGCATATGTACTCAGTACTTGGTTTGGGCCCCTTTTGCAGCAATTACTGCCATTACTTTTGCACGATATTCTAATTATTGGAGTTTCACCTGTATAAGGAGAAGGGGAGAAAGCAGAACATCTCTGTATTGCTACTGAGAGAGTTCTACAACAGGGACCTATTTTTAGTTTAAAGTTGAGAACACCTATAATGCAATCAATATACATTTCGCAAAATTATCTTGTAGCATATGTAAAAACCGAGAACTTCTTAAAATACAATTATCTTGGCAAGAATGGAATCTGCAATAAAAAAATGTGTTTCCCTCAAATCAGTAATGACCCTTAATGTGCTTCACATGCAAAAAAAATGTAGCTTTGATAAAATGAAGCAATCAACCAAAGTGTACAGTGGCTTCCTTGTAATTACTGATAAATAAATGTTCAAGTCTTTGAAGTAATTTGGAGGTATTAAATTATTTCATTATTTAACTAAGGGCTATAATGAAGTGCCTGAAGGTCATCGCTTGCAAACATTATCATTGTTAAAAATCGGTAAGGCAGATGTCTTCTGGCCTAATGCCACAGAATGCACAAAGAGGCAACATGATACAGATGAGTCTGGAAAGCACACTATATTTTCTCTTTTAATGATCACAAATTAGACAAAGTATCCTCTTACACTTCAGAGGATGCATAAGCCACACTATTTCCAATAAAAACAGTTTAAAGCTGGTGTGAATGCCTGGTGAATTAGCACTGCATAATTGTAAATGTATATAGTTCATTCTGTCCTTTCTTTAGTTTTATATTACTTATGCTTAGTGAGATTTATGTTAAAGGAAGGGAGAAGGGAAAGGAAGGGAGAAGGGAGGTTTTTACCTTTAAAGACTTTCTGTAAAAAAATTCTATGTAAGAATAAATAAAACTGTCCAACAAGACAATACGACAGTGTGGTATGAAGAGGTACAAGTGTTGTTCAATCCCTTGCAGTGTAAGAGTTCAAGTATTATTGTGGTTTTAACATATTGCTTTGTCATATTTTAGCAAAGGTTATATTGATCCTTTGTTGCAGATATTCAAGGGGTTTTAATAAGAAATAAAAGTGGTTTTCTAGTTAATGAGCATAAATTACAGAATGTTTAAAAGAGGCTTGAGGAAAATGTCTCAATTTTTGTACTTGTGTGTACTTTTACATACGTGGGTGACTGATTTAATGAAGGAAAATGTTTCACTTGGTTCCGTGCTCACTTGAAATACCCAATAATTCTTAGAAAACAGAGCTCCTTTGCCTGTACATAATTGGTGGATTGATCACAGCTTCACTTTATTCACAATCACAAACCTAAGTGAGTATCGACTTAGCTACATAAACAACCTGAACTCCTTTAGTAAATCAGCCCCACATAGACTGCCAAATAATGGAAAATAATGCACTCCCTGTTTAGCTGTTATCTGATCAGCAGTTGTTAAGCAGGGAGGTTGAATAAGTCAAATACATAACTCTCTTTAATCACCCTGTAAGTCTATATACAATACAGCAACAATTTCAATAAAACTGACTCAAAATCAATATAGTTTAAAGTTGTAGGACAGCTTGGGTTTTTTTTAAATATGAACAGCATCAGAGAATTTATGAAATATCACCCAAGGAAGTATACAGGGAGACTGACATAAATTGAGGGTCCTACAGCACTTCATACATATATGTGTATTAAAAATAAACTGTAGGAAGTGCTCCAGGATAAGCTGGAAGAAAGTCACTGCAAAATAAACATATGTTCCAATACTTTATTTTTCCTTAATGCAGTCAACTAGGACAACTTTGGTTTATGCACTCGCCTTTCCTGGTATATTTATACTAATTATGTTATCGGGTTTTTTTTCTTACAGCCTAAATTTACAGATGACTGCAAATTTATGGAAAGGTATCAGGAAAACAGCTATAACACCTATGCCTCTGCTACTTACAGAACTGAAAAAACAGGGAGAAGGTGGTACGTGGCTCTTAATAAACGAGGCAAAGCCAAAAAAGGTTCCAGCCCAAGAGTGAAACCTCAACATATATCGACACACTTCCTCCCCAGAATTAAGCACATAGAGCCTCCTGAACTGTCCTTTACTGTAACAGTACCTGAAAAGAAAAAGACTTCACCTGTACCTGCGAAACCCAAAACCATAAAGCCACCACCGAAGAAGAACAGTAGCCCTGTTAGATACAGGCTGAAGTTCCGCTTTGGATAATTTGTTACATGCTCCCTGTCGTGGTAAAAATGTTCTTACTGTGCTGGAAGTGTGACAAATACAGCACAGCAGTGGGGTTGTATACTGCACTTCACTTCTGTATAAAATAACCAATGAGATTGCCCAGGTCTAAATGCTGATTGGAGAGGTGGTTTATATGATAGTGGGTTTGAGATTTCTCAGTAAGTGCAATACAGTGGTTCAAATAAACTTCCAAAACTATGATCTGGGAAGACTGTCCATAAATGATAATTTGATGTAATAAAATATTTATCATATGATTGCAAGAGGAACTTGAAAGACTGACTATGACTAGGTTAAACCTAACATAAAGTTATTAACCAAAAGTGATGGCTAACACTCCAGGTACATAATTACTTTTAATGTAGCACACTTGAAATACAAAATAAATATTTGATAAATTTACATTGGCAACTTATTTTAATTCATTATTGCTAACATAACAATTTTTTTGTAATGGATTGGTACTTATAAATACTCCTCTCACCACAATAAACAATGTATAGGGTACTATGTATCATTCATACTGTGGGTAATTTGCAGAAAATTTGCACAAAATTCTCTGGTGAGCATTTATGGGGTTATTCACAAGCTGCCGAGCGCAGCTGTGTTGAAAACCGACCCGCTGTTCGGCTATTCACTTCAGGCTTGTACGGCTCATTTCAGCCGCACATCGGCTTGCTGCGGCTGGGTTCAGGTCGGCCGAACATGCCGAAGTGCAGAAGGAGTTCGACTCAGCTGATCCAACATCTGGATGGGCTGAGCAGAACCTCCGGCAGGCTACTCGCTGCTGTTCGGCCTATTCTCATAGAGGCCAAACAGCAGTGAGTGAATAGCCGAATGCCACCGAGCAGCATTCGGCTCAGCTATTCTGTACGGTACTTCCGTGGTACCGAGCAAAATAGAAAAACTGTAAAAAAAAGTAGAAAACGATTGGGCGCGGCTAGGAGTGACAGCTAGCTCTGCCCAACTGTTTTCTATTGGACGGGACCAGCGGTCATTACAATGAGAGCTTGTCGGAGCCGGCGGTGATATCAAAGCTGGCTCCGCTAAGCTCTTATCATAATGACAGATCAGCGTCCCTGGTTTGATATCACTGCTGGCTCCGCTAAGCTCTTATGACAGTTCAGCTTCCCCTGGTCACTAGGTAACCAGGGGACGTTGAACTGTCATTGCACACTGAGAACTCACGGCGGCTCCGCCGGGTTCTCAGTGTACTGACAGATCAGCGTACCGTGTAACCAGGGGATGCTGATCTGTCCCTGCATGCAAGTGGCTGAAGCCAGCCGTGAGATAAATGCTGGCACAGCCCAGGTGTCAGTAGCTGGCTGTCGGCCGGCCAATGGCCGGCCCTTCGTCCAGCCTCGTCTTTCAACTCATCTCAGTTGAGCCGAAGCATATGCCTTCGGCTCGACTGAGCCACTCGGCCAACTTCTGGAGCTGCACGGGCTATAGTGAATAGCCTGTACAGCAGCTCTTCGGTTCTACTGAACCAAAGGGGTCATGGTGCCGAAGCTAGCCGAAGGATCAGCCGAAGCTATGGCTAGATCCTTCGGCAGCTTTGTGAATAGACCCCTTAGTCTCAATATCAAGCCAAATTCGTTAAATTGGTTAAATTTGCCCAGTAAAAATTACATATGGAAAAGTCTTTACTGTAAAATTCACCCTTTGCAACAAAAAGGTGAATATTTCCCTATACATTCACCTGACATTCTTTCAACTTGTTTACTAAAAAATGCAATAATTGTCTATAGGGTGTGCTGAACCTGTGTCTTAATACTGGTTCAGCACTTCCATTGTAAATGTTTAAATATAATATTTTTTTTACAAATTTCCAAAGAAAAAATGCCCCCCAAGAACTAATTAGCCCTAGACACAAGGCATGAGGGCTGGAATCCCCATAGCATGGGAGCTGTGCTGTGTAGATACCAGTCTGCAGTGGTATTAATCCAAATATGTGATGTGATGTCATAGGGGACTCCTTCCCAAGATTTTTCCTGGAATTTAAACAATGAGAAATGGGGACATGCCCAGCTCCTCATTCAACTTAACTGCTGATGCTGGATGGGCACCATGGGACAACCTTCTGATATTGCTAAACCCTGAAGGGTAAATATTAGCTAAAAGAAGACTTCAGTTATAACATATTTGTAGTCAATTTAGCTGCATGCATGGTGAACTGTTTATTGGTTTGAGGGGGCCTAAAATTTGTTGAGGATAGTGTGGGAGACCACCTACTTTATCCCTATTGTCAGCACCTCTTCCTGGGCCTGGTGTCCATCAGCATCAGACACCAGTGCTTTGGGAGGGGTCCCTGATTTCTGAAGGTGCATGCATCACCATAGCAGGGGCACTGCATGCTCACTGCATCCTTGCCGTGAGGATACCAGACTGCATGCCCAGCTTGTTAGTTCTGGGAAAGGGCACGCTGATTCTTTTTGTGTTTATTTTTTTTTAATGACAGCTAATTTTATTATTGCTGGAACTATGCATGAACACAGTTTTAGCCATATGGAGAGGCATTGCTGGCAGATTTGTTTTCAGGGAAAGTTCTGTTTTTTCACATACAGATTCCATTATCATTCACTGGCAGCTGCATTTGCCTGGTTTACATTTATCCTATTGTTGCAAAACAGAACAAAAACAAAAATGGGCAGTTATTTCTAAGATCAAGCTTATGTTTACATATTCAAATATTGACTTTCCTAAGATCAATCAGTGCTGGTCTTACCTAAGCCTGACAAAGAGAGTGGGCTCGTACAGCAGCAAAATGGAACTATGAATACCAGGTAAGGAGCACTTCACAAATTGTAAATTCTTTGGTGAGAGTGTGGCACATTATAAACAATGTTGTTTTCATTAGTAGGTATAACTGGTTTAAGATGAAGGATTTGTTTTAAAATATACCTTTAGTTAAAAAAATGTATATGGGTTTCCCCACTCCTATCCTATCTAGCATGACCCCTCTCAGACCTCTGTTGCAGCCTGACTCTCTGGAGTTGATTTACTAACCTTTTAAACACACCACGAACGTGTATACACCTCTGTAGTGTGTTCCCTCCCAGCATGATCTATGGGTGGAATCTAAACACCTTTGTAGTGTGTACACTCCCAGCAGGTGTGTTGTGCAAAGCCCTGCAATGAATTGCAAGGTAATGTGGTGTAAATTAGCTCTATGGTATGTTGCTTGCGTTGATGAATGCAGGAATGTAAATGCATGAGCTAACCATTTTTGTCTAAACTGTAAAGCAGCATTATATATGCATCATGTGCATGATTTTTCCATATATGGCATTAGTGGAAATATGCTTTTAGAGACTTTTTGGTTGATAAATACGTTTTGCTGTGTGAAAATCACACACACCTGGTGCGTGCGTGTTTAGGTTAGTAAATCACCCCCTCTGTCACCCACTGGCTATGGCAGTTAACTCAGGTCCCTCAATAACCTCAGTAGAAACTATAGTTGCTCCTGCGCACTGCAGCCCAGCTGCCCAGCCCAAGAAATTATAAACACTACCGTATGCAGCAGAGGGATCTGTGTGGGGGCATACTTAATAGTAAGGGAGTGGGAAGATCCATGCAAGGTTTTTATTACAAACACAAACCTGTAATTCAATGCACAAAATTAGAGAAAACATACAATATATTTCAAGACAACAGAAGACATAAATGAAGTCTGCAAGCTGCAGTTATCTCCATGTTTTGTCCTCGGTCAAGGTCTGTAAGTCATTCCACTCATAGGACTTTATTTAATGTCTTAATCTACCCAATGCTGGATGCTAGCTCCATATAAGTCCATTGTAGATCGATAAGAATGAGCTATGTTCCACTTACCTACAATTCCTGGTTCACAAACCATTGTGCATATCAAATGGTAAATATGCAACAATTTTTTGGTGCACTTAAGTTGAAGAAAAACATGTTGGCATGTTTTTTTTGCTGGCAATCTCTTTGCATATGTACTGCAAGTGATCACTGGCTATGACAGGTAGAATATCTATAAGGGCAATTCACTAAAGCTCTAAAGCTTAACACATGCAGCAATTTTTGCTGTGCATAATGTGCTTTATTTTACTTATATGTGTTTATCAAATGCAATCACATTATGGATATTTGCAATATTTGTATGTACAAGTCAATTTACAAAGTTTATCACATGCTTTTACTTTCTTGTTTATTAAGCGGAACAAAAAAGTAGTTGTTCCAAGTGGATAAAATAACACTTCATTACCAAAACATAAAAAATAAAGGATTATAGTGGTTAAAAACTGTCCCTATGTTTCAACAAACAAACTAACATGATATAATATAACAAACACATTTAAAGTAGATCATATAGTCTGGTGATTTTTTTATAATGGGGTTTATTTACTTAAGGCAAATAGGCTATTCATGGAACAATGGGATAAACTCCTTGTTACATTTATTTGTTTGTAAAAAATTGTTGTGATTTACCTTTCAAATTTGTGGGTGTAGTGCAATAATTCAAACAACTAACAAATAGAATAATATTAAAAGAAATTTACTTAGATTAGGTATATTACAGCCGAGTGAATAAACGACCCGAAGTGAAGTGAGCCGAACGCTGTTTGGCTATTCACTTCAGGCTTGTACGGCTAATTCCAGCCGTATATCGACTGAAATCAGCCATACATTGGCTTGCTTCTTGTGGCTTCGGGTTGGCCAAACATGCTCAGCATGTTCGGCCGACCCGAAGTGCAGAATTAGTTCGACTCAGCCGATCCAACATTTGTATCGGCTAAGCTGAACCTTCGGTAGGCAACTCGCTGCTGTTAGGCTTATTCTCATAGATGCCGAAAAGCAGTGAGTGAATAGCTGAAGCGGCATTCGGCTCAGCTATTCTGCTTCGTACCTTTGTGGTACCGAGCAGAATAAAAAAACAGTTAAAAAAGTAGAAAAAATAAAATAGAAAACGATTTGGCGGAGCTAGCAGTGACAGCTAGCTCTGCCCAACTGTTTTCTATTGGCCGGGCGGTTCTGCTGCCGTCAGAATAAAAAAAATAAAGAAAAAATCACCATAGGAATGCATAGCTAGATTCCTATTGGCTATTTCACTTTGCAATAGCAAACTAGCTATTGCACCCACCCTCTGCTGCTGTCAATCACTAGAGGGGACCTGATGGAGAACTTCAGGTCCCCTCTGCTGATTGACAGCAGAGGGGACCTGATGGAGAACCTAAGGTCCCCTCTGCTGATTGACAGCAGAGGGGACCTGACAGCCAAACAGACAGCTACCTCAATGCTTCCTGATTAACCAGTAAGCCTGGAGGCGAGTCATTACACGCCGCCCAGCGTCCTTAATGGGACTTCAAGTATCGATATTCGGTATCGGCGAGTACTGA